CTTAACTTTAAAATCTATTTATTACGATTGGAATAAGAAAGATATCTTATGAGCGTACTAAAGAGTCAATTTCTGGAGGAAAAGGAGTACCTTGTCCCCCTCCTCACCAAATCTCCTTTCTCACCAAAGTCTCACTTTACACACTGTACACTCAAAGCACCTCTCGAGTAACGCTGGGAGAGGCCTCTTTTTATCTTTTCTTTAAAACAGCAGTACTGAAGCTTCTGAAAGTGAGTTTGAGTCAACCACCTCATTAAGAACCCAGAGCTACTCTCAGAGGGTTTGTCTATCTCTGTTTTAAAGCTCGAATAAAATTTAACTTTTCTTTAGGGGAAGAGTAATTTTTAGTTAGTTGCTAAATCAAAGAAAGATCAGACTTTAGATAGCAATTCATTTTGAACACTCACCTTGTTAGTAGCACACTAGCCAGCTCTCAGTGCAGTGTATCTCCAAGACATTATGTGCAGTGTATCTCCAAGACATTATGTGCTTCAGCATAACTTCCATCCTGAAAATAGTAACTTACTTTGTCCTGCACATTTCCTTTTGTTTCATATTTTCAGCAGATGCATAATTTTCTCATTGCTATTTGAAGAATATGTAAGGCTGGACAGCATAAGAGTGTGTTTGAAGTTCGCTCACTCAACTGCAATAGAAAAGAAAGATTGAACTTTCAAAGTGATATTTCACAGTTGGAAAATTTCCCAGCATGCATGGATGTCATAGGAGGATGCACTGCTTTGAAGAGCCTGGAGGAGAGTGGTTAAGTGTAGGGGGTCTCAATAGGAGGCCATGTTCACTCAGAAACTCTCCCATCGCAGTGTCTGCACAAAGCAGTATGTGATGTAACTATTCCACTGAGGAGGTGCTCATGGACAGCTACAAGCTGCTGCAGGCAAACACATCCAGAGAGTTTTACCAGCATTGTGGTAGGTTCCCTCCAGGCTCGAGGAGACAAAATCCTCAATCCAACATTGCACGGATTATTGATGATCAATCATAATGAATAGCGGAGCAGGCTCAAAGGACTGAATGGCCTACCCTGGCTCCTATTTTCTATGTTTCGGTTGTATTAGCCACTAGAAAGTCTCAAAAAAACTGATGGAACACCTGGCATTGGAATCAACAACAGTCCTGCCAACATTTCAAAGTCCTTCTTACTAACATCAGCGGCCTCGTGACAAAATTGGGAGAACTGTCTCACAGACAAGTCAACAACAGCCTGACATTGTCATACCCACAAAATCATACCTTACAGACAATGTCACAGACCCCACCATCATCAGGCCTGGGTACGTCCTGTCCCACTGCAGGATGGGTCTAACTGAGGTGGGGGCACAGTGGTTTAGAGTAGGGGGATAGTTACCCTGCGTGTTCTCAACTGTGACTCAGGACCCCACGAATTGTCATGGCATCAGATCAAACATGGGCACAGAAACCTCCTGCTGATTACCGTGTGAATCAGTATTCCCTTCATATTGAACACCACTTGGAGAAAGCAATGAGGGCAGTGAGGGTGCGGGATGTACTTTGGGTAGGGAGACTTCAATGCCTATCAACAAGAGTCACTTGGCGTCCCCATTACTGCCCAGGCTGGTCGAGTCCTATAAGACATTGCTGTTAGACTGGGCCTTTGGCAGGTGCTGAGGGAAGTAACAAGAGGGAAAGCAGTTGCTCACCAATCTGCCTGACTGACAGATGTATCTGTCTGCAGCAGCATCAGTAACAGAGACTGCCACACAGTCCTTGTGGAGACATCATATTGTGCAGCACTGCTATTGTGCCACATGGGATAGATTTTGTACAGTTTAGCAATTGAACGTTGGACATCCACAAGGCACTGTGGGCCATCAGCAGCAACAGAACTGTAGTTGAACACAATCTGTAAGCTCAAGGCCCGGCAGTTTCCCTATTCTACCATTACTATCAAGCCAGGGGATTATCCATGGTTCAATGGAGAGTGCAGGAGGGCATGCCAGGAGCTGCACCAGGCATACCTGGGAATGAGGTCTTAACCTGGGTGAAGCTACCACACAAGACTATTTGTATGAAAAACAGCATAAGCACCAAGAAATAGACCGGGGTAAGCTACTGCACGCCAACAGATCAGATCTAAGCTCTGCAGCCCTGCTACATCCAGTCATGAATCAAGTCATAAGCAATCAATCAACTCACAGGAGGAGAAGGCAACATATTTATCCCCATCCTCAATGATGGGGGAGTCCAGCACATCAGTGCAAAAGGTAATGCTTAAGCATTCGAATCAACCCAAGCAGAGATGCTGAGTGAATAGTCTATATCATCCTCTTCCAGAAGTCCCCAGCATCAGATACCAAGATTCACTTCAACCAATTTGACTTACTCCTTGTGACATCAAGAAATGTTTGAAGGTTCTAGCTATTGCAAAGCCTGTGAGCCCCAACAGTTTTCCAGAAATGGTACTGAAGCCCCATGTTCCAAAAGTTGCTACCTCTGTAGCCATACTGTTCTCATACAGCTACAACACAAGCAGCTACCCAGCAATATGGAACGTTGCCCAGGTATTCACAGTGCACAGCAAAAGAATACAACCTGACCAACTACCATCCCATCAGTCAACTCTGAATCATAAACAAAGTGACAAAAGATGTCATTAACAGCGCTATCAAGCAGTACTGCTTCACTAATGTCCTTTAGGGAAGGAAACTGCCGTCCTTACCTCGTCTGGCCTACATGTGACTCCAGACCCATCGCAATGTGGTTGACTCTGAACTGCCCTCTGGGCAATAAATGCTGCCTAGTCAGCGACACCCTCATCCTGTTAATGAATAAAAAAAAACAAGAGCCACTCAGCTCCTGACCTCATCACAGCCTTGGTTCAAACATGGACAAAAGAGCTGAATTCCAGAGACCTCAATGTTGATAGAAGACAGAGTGACTATGTCTGGGCCCATGATTTTTGTCTTCCCAAGGCTAATTGTCAGTCCAAACTCCTTGCAAACAAACAGCAGCTCATAGACTACTTTGGTCATGGTGCACAGTCTTACCAAGGTTGCAGACTTGCTTGCTGAGCCGGTGTATTTGATTGCAGACGTTTTGTCACCCTGCTAGGTAACATCATCAGTGCGCCTCCGGTGAAGTGTTGGTGTTTTGTTCTGTTTGTTATTTATATGACTCGGTTTGCTGGGGTGGTTGGTATTATTTCCAGTTCTGTTTTTCAATGGCTTGTATATCAGGTCCAGTTCAAAGTGTTTGTTCCAGGTGGAAAGCCAGGCTTCCAGGAACTCTCTATCATGTCTGTTTGGTTGTGCTACTAAAGATGTGTTGTCCCAGTCAAATTCATGTCCTCCTTTGTCTGTGTGTATTGAGGCCAGTGAGAATTGGTTGTGTCTCTTGGCGGCTAGTTGGTGTTTGTGTATCCTATTGTCTGTTTTCTTCCAGTTTGGCCTATATAATGTTTCGCACAGTCCTTGCATGGTATTTTGTATATTATGTTAGTTTTATTGGTTGTGGTCATGGGGTCTTTCACGTTTATCAGTAGCTGTCGCAGGGTGGTTGTTGGTTTGTGGGCTGCCCCAATACTTAGGGGTCTGAGTAGTCTTGTGGTCATCTCTAATATGTCCCTGACATATGGTGGGGTGATAGTGTGTCTGGCTATGTTGTGCCTTCTTGTTGTGGTCTGTCGCAGAGGTAATGGCAAATTGTGCTTTTTGGGTATCCATTCCTTTTAAAAACTCGGTAGAAGTGATCCTGTTCGGCTTTGCACAATTCCGAGTTGCTGCAGTGTGTTATGGCTCATTTGAATAATGACTTGATGCAGCTCCATTTATGGGTATTGGGGTGGTTGCTGGAGTAAATAAGTATTTGGTCTGTATGTGTGGTCTTTCTATACACCCTAGTCTGGAGTCCCCCTTGTTCTTACGTACCACCATTATGTCCAGGAAGAGTAGTCGGTTATTGTTTTCTTCTTCTTTTATGAATTTTATTCCATCGAGGGTGTTGTTTATGTGTCGATGAGTTTCTTCTAGTCTTGTGCATTTGATACTCATAAAGGTGTCATCTACATAGCAGACCCAGAGTTTGGGTTGGATAGTGGGGAGCGCTGTCTGTTCTAATTTTTGCAATACCGCTTCTGCAATCAGTCCTGATATTGGGGATCCCACTGGTGTTTCATTGATTTGTTTAAATATATGGCCATTGAAGGTGAAGTGAGTTGTGAGGCACAGATCCAGCAGTTTCAGGGTGCTGTCCTTGTCGATGCTGTTGGGATCATGGGGTGCCTGCCTCCCTGATTCATCCAGCAGTGGACTGAGAGAAACATTACACAGGCCAAACTGGAAGAAAACTGACAATAGGATACACAAACACCAAATAGCCGCCAAGAGACACGACAAATTCTCACTGGTCTCAATACACATGGACAAAGAAGGACACGAATTCGACTGGGACAACACATCCATAATAGCACAACCAAACAGAGACATGCCAGGGAATTCCTGGAGGCTGGCATTCCATCCAGAACTCCGTCAACAAACATATTGAACTGGACCCAATATACAAACCACTGATAAACAGAACCGGAAATAATGCCAACCACCCCAGCAATACGAAACATATAAATACGGAACAGGGTGTTATATTTCCAAGTCAGGATGATGAGCGGCTTGGAGGGGAACTTGCAGGTGGTGGTGTCAGGTTGTATATTCAGTTCCTACTTTAGATGGAACTTGGAAGGTCATGGTTTGGAAGGTGCTGTATAAGAATCCCACTTCCTCTAATCATTATTACAATAATGGTACCCAATGAGCAAACAAGGAATCAAAATTACTGCAAACACTTTGTATTATCCTGATATTTCTTGAGCCAGAACCTATTCTGGCTTTTTGCAAAGAACAGGGATTTATGTATCAAGATACATCAGCCTTGCAAAACGAAAGCTCTGGGGTGAAGACTTTGTTACACTGTCAAGTATAGAATAACAACACCACAATTTGTTCCAGAAATAGAAAACAAAGACAAGGTCAGGAAAAATTATTTTATTGTTCATGAGTGTAGCTATAATCATTCAACATAATATTACTTCTGCTATAAATTTTAATTTGTAAGGGTCATCTGTATTTCATGCAGAATTTCTTTCATGCAGAATTTCTATCATGCAATACCCTTTAGAAATAGTTTAAAGTCATGTGAAATACATGTCTACAATTTAAGTCCGTATCTTAAGAAAACTGCATTACAATGGTTGTTGCAGACACAGGGCACACTAGTAAAAATGTGTGATTTCATTGTAGGTCTTTGTACAATGAATATTCTTTTCATGAAGTCTTGATTCAGAGACTGGTTGAGGAATGATTCAGGATTCCCAATTTCAAAGCAGGCTCATCTCAGCTCAGCTCAGCTCATTGTCCTTGTACGCCAGACTTAACACCAATCTGCAACAAAATAATTGACAGCTTTTGTTACTGAATTGTAAAATATGCTTATTATACAGTGGTGAAAAGGGTCATTGACAGGGCTATCAAGGGGACTTGCTGAGCAATAACTTGCTCACCGATGATCAGTTTTAGATTTCTCCAGGCTCCCTGGATGCAAGGATGTAAAAAAAAAGCTGAATTCCAGAGGTGAGGTGAGAGTGACTGCTCTTGGTAAAGTGTGGTATCAAGGAGTCCTTCCAAAATTGAAGTTAGTGGGAATCAGGGAGCAAATTCTCCGCTTGTCAGAGTCATATCTGACACAAAGGAAACTGCTTGTGGTTATTGGAGGTCATATGATCATACCAACTGGGAGAAGGAGTAGGTTATTTAGACTCCTTCAGCTTGATCCTTCATTCGTTCTTTCATTCTGATTGTAAACTCAAATCCACGTTCCTGCATGCTCTTATAACCTTTCACCCGACCTCACTTTCTAACAACTTATCTACCTCTGCCTTAAAAATGTTCAAGGAATCCGATTCCACCACCTTTTCAGAAAGACAGTTTTACAAAGACACACAACCCTCTGGGAGCAAAAAGAGATCACCTATTTTCTGTTTTAAATTGGCAACCCCTGATTTTTAAACAATGACCTCTAGCTCTAGATTCTCCCATAAGAGGAGACATATTTTCACTGTTAAGACCCTTTAGGATCTTATTATTTCAAAGCGTGATGTTGGCTTGATTTGACTGAAGTATAGAAGATCCTGAAAGATAGATATGGAAATAATGTTTCCTGTTCTGGGTGTGTCTAGAACTAGGGGACACTCTTTTAAAATTAGCGGTCATTTTTTTAAAAACCAGAGATGAGGAAAATGCTTTCTCTCAGAGGATTGTGCAATGTTGGAACTCTTTGCCACAGAAGATAGTGGAGAAAGGGTTATTGAATAATTTTAAGGTAGAATTAGATAGATACTTGTTAGGCATGGCATGCAAAGGTAATCAAGGATGGATTGGAATGTGGAATTGGAAACACAAAGAGATCAGTCAGTATCTTATTAAATGGCCTACATTTCTAATTTATGTATTTGTACTTATTGTCCATTCCTGACTGCCCTTGAACTAAGTGGCTCGCGAGGTAATTTCAGAGGTCAGTTAAAAATCAAGCACATTGCTGTGGCTCTGAAGTCACATACAGGCCCAGTCATTTAAGGACAACAGATTTTGTTCAGATTTCTGAACCAGATGAGTTCTTACAACAGTTCACAATGCTTTCAGTGCCACCATTACCAGCACTATTTTCAACTCCAGACTTATCAATTAAACTTGAATTCCAGCAGCTGCTACAGTAAGAGTTGAACCCACTAATCTCACTTCCAATATTATCAAACCAAAAATGCTCATATACTCAACAGGTCTGGCAGCATCCACAGAAACAGGAAAGGAATTATGAATGGACCTCTTATATATTCAAGTTGATCTTCATCTGCACCTTCTCAGTAGCTGTGACACTATATTCTGCATTCTGTTCTATTCCTCTGATGTACTTACATAAGGTATGACTTGTCTGATTAGCACACAAAACAATACTTTTCACTGTATCTCGGTATATGCGACAATAATAAATCAATCAAAACTCAAATTTTAGGTTAGTGACCTTTCATTTAAAAAAAAGTACTGAAGCTATGGCCTATATGTTCCTCTGTTCAAATGTTATTCTGGCCTTTCCTTAAAATACACAATAGTTTCTATCTTAACTGTATCCTTTAGTAAAGTATTGCATACTCCATCCTTAAAATGTTACTGACCTCCTTTATGTCTTTAACTACATTTATAAGAACAATTAAGGAATTATATACTTGGACTTCACATTCTTCAGCACTTTTCTGTTCAGAATATATTCCCATTATTTGTTCTTCCTTCCAAAATGTAATACCTTAAATTTGAATGCATCAAATTGCATCAACTGCCTACCTTCCCATTCCATTAACCAGTCCATGTCCTTCTGAAATCTTTTATTGTTTTCTTGATTATCTGAAAATCTACTTTTTTGGTCTGATCAGTACACAGAGCAATGTTGTGTTCTGTGTCCAAGTTCAAATCATGCATATACATCAAAATCCATCCAACATTGACCCGCTAATTGCACTATTTCTTAGCCATTTTCCAATCCAGGCAATACGGATTAACCCTAATGCTTTATCTCCTGCTCATCAATAATTTTTTTACCCATGCTACACTAGTTCCACTTTACTATAAGCCAATTTTTTTGTAAAAAGCCTCTCTTGTTAGAGATGCTATCAAATTAATTCTTAAAGTCTATATCTGCAGCTGCAGTACCTAATTCACCTGCAGGCCCTCTTGAACATGTGTTGCAATTTTAACAATCCTGAAAAAGTGTACAGAAAAGGCAAATTAAGTGGCTTCCTTTTGAAGATTAAGTGCTGGAACAGACCTAATGGGTTGAAAGGCCTCTTCCCATGCAGTGATTACTATTATTCTAATATGGTGCTTTCATATCAAGTTATTCTTGAAGTAACAAGTATTACACTTTGTATACTTTTTATGGGCCTCATGCAGAAGATCCCAATCACTTGATCTCAGCTACTAAACTACATCTTTATGCAGACCCTGAGAATTGGCACTGTAAATTTGATTTGATTTATTATTGTCACATGCAGCAAGATACAGTGAAAAGTGTTGTTTTGCATGCTACATAACTCTAAGTTAGAACTTATATGAAATTATCCATTAACTTTATAGAAATGCCTTAATGGCCAATTTTACATATCTGCATTCAGGGAACATGAAATTTTTGGAATGAACACAGAAGGAAAATAGCATAGAGAACTATTTAGCCAAATCTCTACCCTTTTGTATTACTCAGGTCTTTTGTTGGAATTTCTATCTCATTTTTGGGTCATTGGGTTGGCATCCATTGGAAGAAGAATGAAGCACTGGGCAATACAGCCAAACACGGCAGCTAACGGGTCCAAAGAAGATCCTTAAAGATAAGATCCTCTAGATCTCTGGATCTAGGGGAGACTTTCGAATTGCCTCAAAGCTGATGGCCATTTAAACTCACAACTTCTCTGCTGCCGGTACTAAGGCCTCAAACTCTGTGATAAATGATTGAATCTATTTCCTTTATAAATGCAGAAGAAATCATTCCAGTTATGGGAGGAGAGTAGAGGAACATTCTGATCTGATTCTTATTTTCCTATACTACCTACACTGACAGTAGCATAAAGTACATTAATGTTCCATGCTGCAGCACCTCAGTTTAACAAGGACAAATAAAATGTCACCAAAAATGCATGAGGAATTTGGGAAATTTTAATTGATATTTTGGAGGCTCTGTTTTGAGACAGCAAGACTTATTTTCTTGGGCAGTGTTGCCTGCAAGCATTACATAATTAAAGTTGCCATAAATTAGTTCAAATCAGTTCTGACTTCACCTAAAGTCTAGACAACAAAATGATTGAAAACTCTGAAGGCACGAGTCTCTGCCCGTAAATATCACATCATCACTCACTCTTAACAATGGATAATGACCATAACGCCCCAGGTCTTTTTGCTATATGAAGTAGCACAGTCATTTCTCCATGTGTCCATCATTTGATTAAAGAAAAGGTCCCATCCACTCATTTATCATTTGTGCAGAGAACAAAGAACTGCACATTGGAGACTCAGACACCAAATCAACACTTCATACTTATACAATCAGCTTCCAGTTAATTAAATGAATAATTCAGAGAAAGGCAAAGATATTAAGTCAGGCTTTGGAATTAGTGTGGCGAGCACACTGGATAACCTATCATCCAGATCTTCAGTTACTCTTGCACTTCAGTAAAACTTTAAGCCAAAATGAGGTTTACAGGAAAAGCATGACGTCTTTAAAATGTGACAGTCTTCTTTTGTAAATGTACCACACAGTTATCCTTTATGTTAAAAGTTCATGCATTTGCTAATATGGTCATAAATGCCACCCAGTATCAATCTCAGACATAAATGTTTCAATATCCGCTCATAAAATTTGTCCATTAAGGGTATCAGCAATAAATTAGACTCAGGCTTAAAATGAACCCTGAAGAACAAATTGGTAAATTGCGCCCCCTTTAAATGTTATACATTTTTCTTTCAAAAATGCAACCATAATTACAGATGTCTGTTTGGCAACTATCCAGCTTCTAAATCACCCTATTTTTAAATGTACTCCCTGAGGCTGTATGTTTTTTCAATCTCAAAAGCCTATTCCTTTGAAGCCTTCATTTCTCTCATACGGAAACTGCCTTGGGACTGAACTCCTCCTATCCACTTGAAAAGATGCCCTGCAGCAATACTGCTGAATATAAAATATAGAGAGAATAAATCGCAAAGACAGAACCCTTCACTTTGTCTGAAGATTCACACGGTACACCTTCTGCTCCCTCAACCACATTCCCACCAAACCTCTAGTCACCTGACTTCCCTTCCTTGCTGTTGTGTCAGCTGACATCATTAGTGTTCCCTTTCCTCAGGGTACATCAAATCTCCTGTCATCACACTGGTGCTCAAAATTCCACTCTTCTTTTTATCCATGTGAATGACCTTTTCATTTCCAACCTCCCTTTCTTTCCTCAAGTCTTTGAACAAATTAAAATCCATGCCCACTTTTCCTAGCAGCCTGCTTTAATTCCTCAGTAACAAACCAGGGAGTTAGGATTGGTCAGGGTGGGGGTCAACGTCTTTAATACATTGATAGGGTCGTCTTCAGTAACACTATCAAACTTCTCTCTTACACTTCAAAACAAAGAGATATTTACTATCAATTGCTTATCACCTTTAAGGGTGGCACGGTGGCTCAGTGGTTAGCACTGTTGCCTCACAGTGCCAGAGGTGCGGATTCGATTCTGCCCTCAGGTGATTGTCTGTGTGGAGTTTGCACGTTCTCTCTGTATTGGTGTCTATCCTCTGGGTACTCTAGTTTCCTCCCACAGTCCAAAGATGTGCAGGTTAGATGGATTGGCCGTGCTAAATTG